GTGTTGTGAATTGGTGCTATAGAAATAAACTGAATTGAATTTAAATCTACATCACTATGACAAACTGTCAGGTTTTCATTACAAAACTGCTACACCCATACAATTTCAGTCATCTTGGATATATCACATTTTATGAATGATAATGATGTAATATTATCATTAAACCAATTTTGTTTGAAATACAATCTAGTCTTTTATGACAAAATTTACAACCATTTGGTAAAAGTAAAACCAGAACCTCTTAAATCTATGGTTACAGAAAAGAAAGACTTTAATAATAAAAAAATGACAATTTTACAAGGAAATGTTTAGATAATAAATGTACCCCAAAAAGGGCACATTATTCCGATGAATTTTAAAGGAGGATTCCTTTTTTCAAAATTACAAGGGAAAATATATTTTCCGTTATCCCCTCAAAAGTTGAACAAGTCTGTTTAACAACTATCAAGCAGCTACTGAACTAAGGCTTTTGTCAGGTTTAGATGTCAGTCTGATGCTGCTGGATGCACATTGTATCAGGATCATCTTCTCTACAGATGCTCAGGTCTTCTGCAGCAGCTTCTAGGTTTTGGTTCCAGGTCCAGAAAATCTAACTTCTGGTTTGACTTGAACAAGAACAAAATCTGGTCTTTATTTTATGAAGTGGATTTTGATCCATTATTGTACAACCAAAGAGCATGCTTTGTAAGCTGATATTTAAAAATAAAGGTCATGCAGAAACTTTAAAAAACGTATTAAAAAAATTAAAGAACTTTGCTTTTTTCTAAGGCTTTAATTTACCAAAGTATATACATTTTTTAAATTTAAAAAGTCTTTTTTCCTAATTTTATTTGAGAGTTTGCATTTTCACCTTTAATTTTCCATTTCTTTTTAAAAAATGTCTCTTTTATGATAATGATTTTTAAGAATTGCATTCTCTTCAAATCGTGTGTTGCAGATCAAATTCTCTTTACTTTAATCCCAATGAAACACGCACTCTGGAACCATACAACCCTGATGCTAAAGTCGATGTGAATGTGATATTAAAACTTTTATTCGTAATTTGTAGAAAATACTGACAGAGTATTAAGAAATAAAATAATCATAAAAAATTAAATATTAGAAAACAGCTGTGATATTTCCAAAACCTTTTTTAATTGAGAAATTAATAAATTTTATTTCTGGATTGCATTTTTTTTTAATTAAAAATGTTAATTTCTGCAACAATTATGGAACAAAATTCACTTCGCATATTTTTAAACTCTGAATGAAAACTTTAATAACTAAGTATTGCTTTTATTTTTTTTCCATAAAAGTAGATTTTTTTAGACGTCATTTAAATGTTCTTAAAGCACGGAGGAAACACAGTCATTTTTTTTTTTTACATCGAATTTTAAACACTGAATTTTTTTAACACAGAATTTTAAAAACATTTTTTTTTACAGATTGGATTCCCTACACTGAATTTATATTTGGTTAAAATTTGCCTGCAAAAATTTCAGCTGCAAATAATTTGACAGCAAATATGTTGACCTTTAGGCGAACTCAAGGCGAAGCAATCGACAGTCGATGCAGTCGAGCAGCTTCTAGCCAATGAAATGAGCTCATTTGGTCATGTGACAACAGGGCACAGCTTTGTTCTCGGCTAAATTAAGCCGAATGAGGAGTTTTCTTGTTAAATAGATATGATTAAAAAAAACGTCAGGTAGCTACTAATAGACAGCCATTAGAGTTTTTCATCTAATCTGACTGAGTGAAATAACTGAGCAGCTCCCCCTGTCTGCCTAGGCTGTTGCTTTGATCTGGAAGAAGCAGCCGGTGGGAAACTTGTTTTTTTTCTGATCAATTTAGCTAATTTTATTGGCTGAAAGCTGCTCAACTCATGGAGTGTAAATCGCTTTGGCTAGGGTTCACCAAAAGCTGAATTCTTTGCAGGCGATTTTTTTTTTTGCTGCTGAACTTTTTTGCAGGGAAATCTTTTTTTTAGCTTAATTTTTTGCAGGCAATTTTTTTGCAGCTGATTTTTTTTACAATTGAATTTTTTCAGGCATTTTTTTTTTTGCAGCTGAATTTTTTAAAGGTGTTTATTTTATTTTATTTTTTTATTTAACAGCTGAATTTTTTTGCAGAATATTTTTTTTTTGCAGCTGAATTTTTTTGCAGGCTATATTTTTTTGCAGCTGAATTTTCTGCAAGCTAATTTTTTGCAGCTAATTTTTATTGCAACTGAACTTTTTTGCAGGGAAATCTTTTTTTCAGCTGAATTTTTTGCAGGCAATTTTTTGCAGCTAAATTTTTTTCAGGCGTTTTTTTTTTTTCTAATTTTGTAACAGCTGAATTTTTTGCAGAATCATTTTTTTGCAGCTGAATTTTTTGCAAGCTAATTTTTTGCAGCTAAATTTTTTGCAACTGAACTTTTTTGCAGGGAAATCTTTTTTTCAGCTCAATTTTTTGTAGGCAATTTTTTGCAGCTGATTTTTTTTACAGCTGTTTTTTTTCAGGCATTTTTTTTTTTTGCAGCTGAATTTTTTTCAGGCGTTTTTTTTTTTTTACAGCTGAATTTTTTGCAGAATATTTTTTTGCAGCTGAATTTTTTGCAAGCTAATTTTTTGCAGCTAATTTTTTTTGCAACTGAATTTTTATTCAGGCGTTTATTTTTTTTTTTCTAGTTGAATCTTTTTCATGCTTTATTTTTTTTTTTCTTGCCGAATATTTTGCAGACAATTTTTTTTTTTGCAGCTGAATTTTTACCAGACAAAAATTCAGTCCAAGGAATTCAATATGTAAAAAAAAAAATAAAAGTTTTTAAAATTCGTTGTGCACAAAAAGGCAGATTTCAATATTAAAGCTACAATGTGTGATTTTCAGCGACATCTACCGGTCAAACTGCAGCAACGTGAACCCACCCGCAACTTTATATAATATTTTACAAAGGCCTCTTTATGAACTGGTTATGCACAAAAAAAAGTGTATTGTTGTAAGGTAGCCTTACAATTACTCTGTATAAACCTGACCTTGCTTTGTGTGTTTTCAGAGAGAAAATGGTGAGCATCAGTTTCTGAGAAATCATCTTCTGCAATAGACGATCTTTGCAGACCTCCAGCAGCCAGTAGCTGCTGCTGCTGAGGGAGGAATCAGCTTCGCTCAGCTGTCTGTCAGGTTATTGCTCTCCGCTCCGTTTGAGTCCCGTGTCTCTGCTAATGTCGCAGCATCCAGTGAAAGCCAAGCAGAGGGCCTGCTAGCTGGAGCGGCCCGTCTAAAGGCTGCATTTGGACGGAACACCTGCGGAGAAAAGGAGCAATATCCCGGTATGTCGTCCGGGCGCGAGAGCGTCGCCAAAAAGAAGCACGTTCGCTTCGCTAACATGGAGGAGGAGGAGCAGGAGGAGGACACGCTGTTTGACCAGAGGAAGGAGGCCGGCCGGGGGCTAAAGAGCGCCCTGAAGTTGGCCAAGAGGTCAATGAAAGCGGGAGGAGAGAGCAGGGTGAGGGTGTCCGCTGGAGGAAGCGGCGCGTGCGGCCGTTGGATGGTGACGCTCGCGCTGTGTGGATCCTTCCTGGGTTTGGTAAATATCAGCACGATAGACACCGAAAAAGAAAAAAAAAATGCCCGAAAAAAATAAAGGTGCAGGAGAAATGTTGCAGTCTAAATTGATTGTAAAATAATAAAAATCCTGTTCTATTTATATGTGTTACATTTATTTCATTGTGTCAGATAACTGCTCTGGACGCCATAGAGCTCCCTAGACCTGTGATTATTAGAATTATTTTATCTATTAAGTCATCTGAACTAGATTTATCTCAGTAATTGTGACCTGACAGACTGACAGCCGCGCCTCAGATCTAAGCACCAGTGTAGTGTCAAAGTAGGTATCCCTGACAGTCTGTTCCCGCGCGTCGGGAGCGCGCATTCTGCAGGAGGCCTCGACTAGCGCCATGGGCGGTTCTAGACAGGAGCCAACGGGGGCCAGTGCCCCTATCCTGGCCTCTGTTCTGAAGACATAATACTGAAAGAAATCCTAAAGATGATCTGCACTGGAACAGACATGGTTACTGATAGGGCCTCTATTTCACTTTTTAAATTTTAAAGTCGTTGGGAAATCATATTTATAAGTTAAATCATTCTGGCTTAAACATGTATATAAATGTACTCTTAATCAGAGCATATTGTCCCAAAGTTTAGAAACTTTCTATTAAAAAAATAAAATAAAATCCTGTCTTAATATATGTTTTTTTTTCTCGTTATCTCATGCAGACCAATCATATATCAACGGTCATCTGTCAATCAAATGTTTTCGGTCATAGCATCTTGATTCATTCAAACCGGCCACAATCAAAAAGCTTGTGAATCTTCCGCCACAACAATCCCACCCCCTTGATAATCGACCAATCACATTCACTTTATTCACTGGTGTAAAGTCGGGCACCACAGGGGAGAATTAGGAAATGCAGTGATTGAAACAGCCGTTTCCCTGCAACTTTAATAATTAATAAAACAGAATTTTTTTAAACAATAAGGTGATAGCTTCAGTGGTATTGAGATAGGATCCCAGTTTTCATCTGCTACGTGTTTTTTTCTTTACAAATAAAAACAAATACTCCAATTTTTACAGCTGAATTATCAATTCTTTTATTTTAGTTCTCATTCTGATTTTATAGAAAACTAATTTTAACTGAAATTAAGCTTGAAATATGTAATATTCCTAAATTATGAAGGTATGTTGACCTAATATTCCAAACAAAAAGCTTTATTTGATCTTTTAGATATTTATAAAGCTACACGATTTTTATTTTTGATTTTAACAATAATCCAACTGAACATTTTTAAGCAAAATATAAATATTTTCAGTTGGAAGATGCATAATTTTTTATTAAACCTAACTGAATGGAAATATTTTCTTCATGCAGCTCTCTTAATATGTTTGAATCCCTTGACTTGCCCCCATGAAAACCCGCTGGCCCCCTCCTGGCCCCCTGGTACATTTGGTCTAGAACCGCCACTGGGAAGTGCTGATGTTTTATTCTTAGGTTTTATTGACATTATATTGAAAGTTTGTTGTTGAAACCCTTCCAGGATCATGCAGTGTTTGGGTGTTTTGCACCTGATCGTCCCCAGTCCTTCCTAACTCTGTTTTGTCTCTCCGCTGAGCTGTGATGTGTTAGTATCAGGTTATCAGCCTGCTGTGGGACGTTATCTCCATGTCCTGCACAGACAGGATTTCCATACTTGCAAAACTTGCTCTTCCACAGCTCACGCCACCTTACAGAAACCAGCAGCACATACAGCGAAAGAGTCTGCTGTTTTCCTAACGTCTCCAGTTCCAGTTGGAGAAGTGAAACAGGCTCAGGTCTTTGTTCCCCTGCAGCACCGTGGTTTGTTCCCTCTAAACAGGACCTGATTAAACTTCACTTATTCCTGCTCATAGATCACTGCGGTAAACTATCCTCACTCTAAACAGTTTCACAGCAAAGACTCCTTCTTCTTCCTCATATTCTACTGACCTTGGGATTTTGTTGTTGCCAGAAACACAAATCTAGATGGGATGGTTAAGATTTGTAAACCTCTGCCTCTTTTAAAATACTGTTTAGGCGTTTATTCATGAGGAGAAAAGTTAAACAGGAAACGAGACAAAATAATCTAACAAAAACAGTGTTTGGATGAGTTAAGGCAGGGAGAGCAGACCTAAAGAACCTCTGACTGCTGTGAAGCATGGTGGTGGTGGCATCATGCTGCTGTGGGTTTTTGCAGACAAATGTTTTTATCCTGTATGGAGGGACTTTTGTGCCATTATTGTTTCAAGCAAAGAAAACTTTTACAAAAAAATGAATTTAAATTTTAAAAGAAAAAGAAGCAATCTAGAAAAAAAACTTTAAAAGTTTTTTTTTTTCAAGAAAATAATTTCCATATCTCAGATTTAGATTTTCAGTAATGTTTAAAAAAAAACATTTATTTAAATGTAACTTTTTTCAAATTTTTTTTCTCAGATGAATTTTGCGATTATATTCTTTCAAATGTTGTTTTCCAGATCACATTTTCTCCCCTTTCCTCTGGGGTGAGTTTGTTTTGGTCTGCTGGACGTTAGAAATAAGATTTTTATTGGTCTAAAGCAAGTGTTTATATTGGGATAGAGGTGAAGAGTACTTGATACGTATTTATAAAACTCAATATGAAAAAATATGTGTATATATGTATATATATTTAAACACAGCAAGGGAAGTAAGTATTTGAACACTATTTGCTATTTTGGTCTCCCACTTAGAAATCTTGGAGGGTCTGAAATTGTCATGGTAGGTACATACCCACTGTGAGACACAATCTTAAATAAAAATGGCTATATATGATTTCTTAAGTATTTGTTGATATAAATATTAAAATTAAATTGTTGAAAAAAAAAAGTCTGAGAAAACTGCAAATGTACCTTAAGAACCTTTTATTCATTTAAACATTTTTTAAAGTTTTCTGGAATGCACCCCCCCCAAATTTCCATTTTCAAATGTTCTTTTTTTGCAAAAAAATGGAGTAAACTTCACTCCGTAGTCCAGTTTTCAACATTACATAGATTTTTGGAATGAAATAAATCAAGCTAATTATTGGCTCTGTCAGGTTTCCACACACCATCTTCTGTTTCTTTGCTCAGACCTAGATCTACGACGGTTAGAGAGTGCAGCCGTTTCCTCTGACCCGCCGTATCTCAAACCGTGACATCAGGCAGTAAAGATGGAGACACCTGCAGAATGTGTGTGATGCGGCTAACCGCTGGTTAGAGGGGTTTTCCTAAGGTTAGGATCCAGAGTAGATGGCTTGGTTTGAATCAGGTTGGCTTTAAAGAAGCTTTCTTTGCTGATTTAGTTATTTCTGTTCCGTTTAAACCGAAGGCAAAAGGAAGCAGCTGTAAAATGAGACGCCTCGCCGTCTTCCTGCAGCTCTAAGCGTCCTCCTCTCTCTCTCTCCAGGGGATGGGGATCTCCGTCGTCGGCCCCACCTTCCAGGATCTGGCCGCCAATGTGCACAAGAACATCAGCAACATCTCCTACATCATCACCGGCCGCGCCGTCGGCTACATCGGCGGCTCGCTCATCGGAGGCATCCTGTTTGAGTGCATGAACCCCCACGTCCTGCTAGGTAACCCCCCCTCCTCCTGGTAAAGAGATGTTCTGCTTTTCTCCACCTTTCAACGTTTCCTCCACCCGTCTCTCCTTGCAGGGATCTCCATGCTGCTCACGGCGTTGGGGATGTATGCCATCCCCTTCTGCAAGCAGGTGCTGTTCCTCACCGGGATCATGTCTGTGGTGGGGATGGCTATGGGAGCTTTAGACACAGGTAAGAGGAGCCAGCTGGAAGGTCAGACTGTGGGTTAAGCTCAACAGTTTCTATCAGAATCTGTAGTCATGTCTCCTGGTTATTTAATCCATAAACATTATGAAGTGTTATTTAAAGAGTTAGTCCTGAGTGATCCGTTCTCAGGAAAGAGAAGAGAGAAAGCTTTAAGGTGGAAACACAGAGCTCACCTTAACAAATCATGCTGTGTTTTATAGTGTTTGCAGCTCTGTTAGCATTGCATCCCTGCCTATTTATCCTGTTGAAGTCTGTGTCTGTATTTCATTCTGCAGACGTGAGGAAGAGGAGGCAAATTTAGCGTTGTATTATCTGGTCCAACCGGTTTGGTTCAAGCAGCTTTGAGTCGCTGCCAGTTTGGAAGCTGTTCCTGTTCCACCACCTCTGCTGATGACGCATCTTTCTGACCTGTTCACCTTATATATGAAACCAAGACAAATATATATTTTTTAATTATTTTCCATTTCTTAAAAAAAAAATCCTCATTTTTTTGCTTTAGTTTATTATTAACAGGGTTTCCGTGGGTCATTAAAAATCATGTCATTTAATTATTTTTTTTTTAAGTTAAGGCCTTAATTGGCATTCAAATTCATTAAATCTGATTATCGTGGCATTTCAAATGCTTTATAAAAAAAAAAAAACATTTATACAAATAATCTCGTCAGATATAACAGATATAACTGATTCTATGTGTTTGCAGTGAACTGCTTCCGGTTGATCCTAAAGACGTATGTTGGGAAAAGACGCTTGAGGCGGAGAAAAAGCTAGAGAATGGGGAAATGCAAAGTTTATTTAGTCATTCTGTATACACAAGTGTAAAGAAAAAGACATTTCGATTAGAGCAGCTCTCTATAGTGCAGCCATGATAAGGTAATCAGCAGCTGTTGTTGAGCTGCTGCTACTGCCTCCAGCTCCTAAAGCACTCGCTTCTCCTGGCTCATGGGAGGAAGAGGACGATGATGACGATGCTATGAGGGTGGTAGCCTCCTGGGCTGAAGAAGTTGACGTGGTTGAAGCAGCAGAGGTGCCATCAGCAGGTTTAGCAGCGACAGACGATGCTGGAGAAGGTGTGGAAGCTGGAGGGGGCCGGGAGGAGCCGGCTGGCGATGTTTCAGCATTTGGCAGGGAAGCATTTAGGGTGCTGTCCTCATTTTCACCTGCAGAGGGCAGTGCTTCCCCTCTAGATGCTTCGTTATTTTGTTTACATCCGTCCGCAGCTTTTTAAACAGTCAAAAATGTCAGTATTTAAAACATTTTGTGACCGTAGCTCCAGCAGGCGTTGGCGATCATAGATGCGGGTTTGATGTCTAGTTTGTATCGTTTTAAGTGACATATTTTGTTAAATTGTTGAGAGGAGCTGCCTTGGAGCGCTGCCATGGTAAATTTGAACAAAAGTGGCTGAAAACCAGGAATTCAGGACATGGCTGCAGCCTGTCGGCCGTAGAGATTATGAAGAAGAGTCATGGGTACCTGTTGATGGCATTAAAATGAGTTCTAAGAGCATTAAAAAGCATTTAATTAGAGTTACTCATTCCTGTATAAACCCTGATTTTCTTTTCCATCACCAGACAAACAGATTTCCCTTTTAAGGTTCCGGATTTATCATGTAATCTTATTTGTGTAACTTTGTTCCATATAATAATCTTTCTATTCTGAGCTGCTCTGCTGAATGGATGCAGGTTGTGTTCATGTTGATAGGAGACTATGAGGCTCAGCTGTTCGCCATCATGGCTGCTTTGGTAGAAAATACCTGATATTCTGCGGCAGTTTTAGGTCCAACCTTTATTTTGTTGATCATGTTTAGTTAACTCTTCTAGTTTCCTAACTGGAAGCTGATTGGTCAGCCGTAAAGATAAATAAAATATAAATGAAATTGAACTCTATAGATCTGATAATGGAGAAGTTAACTCTCTGCATTTAACCATCCCCTGATGGAGCGGTGGGCTGCCATCTTTGGGCGCCGGGGGAGCTATCGGGGCTTAAGGGACCCTGAGTGGCAGCTGGTTTCAACCTCAGAACCTCAGGATCCGAGCCCTGTGCTCTGACCACTAGGCCCCCCCTCCCCTGGTGTCTGGTAGGATGATTGTTTCTGTGGTGGTTGTGGGTAATCTTTTCCCTCTGTCTTGTCTGTCAGGTGGGAACGTGCTGATCCTGAACACGTGGGGGGAGAACTCCGGCCCCCACATGCAGGCTCTTCACTTCAGCTTCGCAGCGGGAGCCTTCGCCTCCCCCATCATAGCCAAGCTGCTGTTTGGCCATGATGGAAACGGCAGCTCGCCGCTCACACCCACCAGCCCCCCCGCCGCCATGAGCCGCATCACCCTGAAGTCCATGTGGGCCTACATTGTGATCGGCTCCGTCCTCCTCTTCATCTCCTTCCTCTTCCTCCTCCTCTACGCCTGCGGCAGCAAGTCGAGGGACAAAGCGCAGGCGGCGTCAGAGCGCCCTCGTGTGGCCAAACACCACTCTGTTCTCGTCGCCCTGCTCTTCTTCTTCTTCTTCGCTTACGTTGGCGCCGAGGTGGCGTACGGCACCTTCATCTTTACCTTCGCCACGAACTACGCCCACATGCCTGAGGCCCACGCTGCGGGGCTCAACTCTCTGTTCTGGGGCACCTTCGCCGCCACTCGAGGGGCGGCCATCTTCTTTGCGGCCTGCTTGTACCCCGGCACCATGATCCTGCTCTGCCTGCTGGGCTCCGTCCTCTCCTCGCTCCTTCTCTGCCTCTTCACCAACAACCACGCCGTGCTGTGGTTCGGCACCGGGCTCTACGGCGCCTCCATGGCAACCACCTTCCCCAGCGGGATCTCCTGGTTGGAGCAGTACACCACAGTGACGGGCAAGACGGCGGCGGCCTTTGTGGTGGGGGCGGCGCTGGGAGAGATGATGCTCCCCTCTCTGGTGGGCTTCCTGCTCGGCGTTTTCCCAAAGCAGCCGCTGCTCATGTACCTGTCCATCATCACCGCCACCTTCACCTCCATCCTCTTCCCCGTCATGTACAAGGTCGCCTCGGCCCCCGGCGATCAGAGCAGGAAGCCTGGCATCAGGGGTCGCTCGGACGCCGACGACAGCGAGTACAGACAGGCCCTGCTGGACTCAGGCGCCGATGAGGAGGAGGAGCAGCAGAACGAGGCCGATCAGTGGAACGACGCAGACTTTGAAATCATCGAAATGGACGACGCGTCGAGTTCTAATTCCCCCAGTAAGGAGTCGTCTCCTCCTGATGGCGGCGCTGTGACGGTGACCACGGAGTCAGACGGCGATCTGCTGCAGGGAGACTCCCAGACATAAGCTGCTGCTGTTACTGAACAGACAGAAGGACTGAAACATGGCGCTCAGCGTTCCGGCAGACGCTGCTTTTCATTGGTTCCTGTGTTTCTGCGGCGTGGCGAAGCAGGGTCACTGGCTGAACACTGGCTGATAGATGGGGCTCTGGCTCCCCCTACAGGCCCAACAGAGCCTGACACTCCAGTGCCTTCCTGAGGACACCCGGCGGTTCACGAAGGACTCTGTTGAATGAAGAATCTCTTTGTTTTGAATCAACGTATGACATCACTGTGAAGGTTAATGATTGAACAGAAAGGCTGATGAATACTGAGTTTGTTTTTATTAAATCATCTCAAACCTCCAACCACGGCCACGTCAATAAAAACAATCAAAAACACCTTCCATATCTTTTTTTTTTCCTTTCTTTTTTTACATTTTTACAAACAGATCCTCCATGTTTGAGGAAAGATGCTGTAGTTTAGAAGCAGGTTTGCACAGGAAACCGGACACGTACATCAAACCCATGTTCACAAAGAAATACTCTTCATGACGTTTTATCATACAGTATTGCAACAGTCCCAGATTGAAAAGAAACGCAGTTCCAGTTCTCACCCTCTGCTGAAGGATGCGTCGGATCGACGGCGGTACAATCGCAGGAAACATGGCACCTTCTGAAGGTTCAGCTTTCGCGCTAACGCGGTCGGACTGTAGGAGGAAACGTGGCCTCCGTCTCTTAGTGGCGTCAATCATCAGGGAGTGGAATCGGCTTCACCCAGCAGCTTATGGAGGCGGCAGTAAACCAGCGTCTCATAACTTAGAGTTAATCACCAGATCAAATATAAAAAAAAACAAACCAGTTTATTCAAAGCACCGTTAAAATGTGAGTGAAGCGTCAGAGTTTAGCACCAAATGAGCCGATCAGAACTGCTCCAGCAGCTGTCTGAGGTAGGGGGCCTTGGAGAGCTGTCTGCTGACCCGGGACAGCTTGTAGAGGACGGGACAGTCCAGGGACACGCAGGGGACCTGCCGCTCAGCGCAGCCGCTGCAGTTCCTGCAGATCTGAACACACAACGCCATGGTTAATGAGACAGTCTGCATCCTGATTGGCTGAACTTCAATAAAACTGATTAACTTCATCTGAAAAAAAAGTTTTTTTTAGAAAAGCACATTTTGATCCCTGCTGGAAATAAGAACAAACCAGCTTCACCAGCAATAACTTTATTACAAAACCCAAACTTACGTTTTTTCTGAAAGTTGGAAACAAATTTCACATCATTAAATATAAATACTGACTTAAGTTTAATGGTGTAGTGTGCAACCTAGACTAAAAACCCTACTTTTTATTTGCAAATCTGCATTTTAAGGCTTTTAAATAATGACTAAAATAACCAAATCTAACCAAATGATTTTAGAATGACTGCATTTTAAGACCAAACTTGAATAAATGAATCTATAATGATTTTAAAGGAGCTTAGCTCAAGTTCGCCCCCCTCTGGCGACAGGTTGAAATTACACACTAGAAAAAAAATCTAAATCTAGATAAGTAATTTTTTATTAAAATAAGTGCATTTGTTATTGGATTGAGGAGGTTAAAGAGACATTTTGCCAATGGAACAAGACAATTTACATTAAAAAATAAGAAAACACAATTGCATTGTCTTATTTTAAGCACATATTATCTATCTTATTTTAAGAGTAAAAATACTCATTCCATTGGCAAACTATCATTTACCTACTCAAATTAAGCGTAAATAAACGTAATTAAAAATTTTTTTGTCTTATTTCTAGATCGTTTTTCCAGTGCATCAGTGATTAACAAACCACGGAAGCGTATTGCATTCACCAAAGAAAAAAACGGCTTATCACGTAATTACGCGACACTGATCTCATTATGAGAAAAGATCTCGTAATTATGAGATCTTTTCTCATAATGAGGTCAATATTTCACAAATACGAGATCAGTATCTCATAATTACGAGCTCATATGTTGTAATTATGAGATACTGATCTCATTATGAGAAAAGATCTTGTAATAACGAGACACAATTTCATAATTAGGAGATCTTGTCTATATATTTGGTCATGATTAACTGAGCTTGTAATGTAGCCTCTCTCAGAAAACAAGTCTTCATGATTACTTCTTAAAAATATCTGCATCTGTTCCACTGAACATTTCTCTGTAGCGAGGTCTGACCTGATACGCCTGGGATTACTAGTTGTGAAGTAAGCATGCAGCCTTATGAACGAATGCCAAAATCTGTCTACAGCTCCATTAAAACGGATTCCGTATGGTTTTAGTTTGTCATATGAACCAAGTTGGGACCTGGTCGTTTTAAACGCTTCTGAAGCCTCAGCTGAACTCCTTTGTTTGGGACGCCAGAAGCCAGCAGGAATGCATTTCAGATGCTTTAGTTTATCTCCATAAAGCATCCTGTGCTGGTTTAATCGCTCCTGCAGGAACAGGGAGATTCCAGCAGGTCAGAGTGGGCTTTTTCACATAAACAATTCTAAGGACTTTATGGTATCTGCACAATGCCGACAAACTAAAACTAATTCCATCCACATTGAGGAAACTCAGTATTTCCCAGAGTTGCATATCTAAAAGGAAATAAAAGCAGATTAAATCCGACAACCCACTCATTGTTCACGTTTCATGTAGCGTAGCTCAGCAATGATTGTCCTTCCTGATCTCCTAAATATGAGATCTTATCTGTTAATTATGAGAAAAGATCTCATTATCTTGTAATTATCAGATCAGCTGTCAGATTTGTTTTTCTTTGGTGAATGCAATACCCTTCTGTAGCTAACAGTCTGCTGCACTGCAAAAACAATCAAGAAATGAGTAAACATTTCTTAAATTAAGTTCATTTAGCAGGTTAATAAGATTATTTGCCAAAGAAATGGAGATGGAGATTTTTTTACTCTTAAAATAAGATTAAATAATCTGCACTTGAAATAAGACAATGCAGTTGTTGTTTGTCTTATTTTAAATGTAAATTGTCTTGTTCCATTGGCAAAGCGTTTCACTTACCTCCTCAATTCAAGAGAAAATGCACTTATTCCAGGATAAAATTACTTATTTAGATTTTATTTTTCTACAGTGTGCTGTTTGTTTAGGGGCATAAAGTCATCTGAGGTTTTAAAGGTATAAATACTGAAATTATTTTAAGGGAGCATCTAATCGATAAAAAAGCTCAGTGCAGATCTGAGCTCCCTTAATTTCTTTATGCCAAACTAGACATGATATTTAAAGTAGTTTCATTTCTTCTTTTGCTTACGAATCGATGAAGTCACATCGAACAGCATAAAACCAGGTAGAAAGAATCCAATAAATATTTTCCTGTCAGGTCGACTATTTCTGTGCTTCTCTAATCAGCTTTCATATTTTATAAAATGTCTTATTTCATGGAGCTCACAATGCAAACCGTCCTGGTCATTCTGACTACAGATTTAGTTTGGTTCCACTTTATGTTTGAGATTAAAGGACTAAGACTCTATACAGTGGATTGTTCCTAACCCTAACCCAAAGAACACATTCTGTAAATGGAAATTTTAAGGAATTCAGGAATGAAACTTTGAAAAACATAATAAAAAATAGTTGTAAGAGTTTTAAATTTAATGGACTTTTACAGCTGCTTTTTGTATCTCTGCTTCTGTCTCCTTGAACCCCAGTCAGCCTCAGCAGATGGCCGCTCACACTGAGTCTGGTTCTGCTGGAGGTTTATTCCTGTTGTTAGATTCATTCTTTATTAATCATGTGTATTATTAATCTGTTAGCCAGATTAGATTGAGTAGAAGGCCTTCCTTCACATGGTGAAATGTGTGTACAGAGGCCATCTAATGAGGACAGTCTTCTTGTCTTTGGTAGATACACAGGTTAAGGACACATCCCGGAGCCAGACTGATAGAGGAGCGCTATCTGTAATCCTGAGGCATAGATGCAAGAGGCATGAAGGTCAGGTCATGGATGGTGTGTGAGTTTCTGACATGAACAGCTAAGCATCCACCTGATGCAACACATAGACTCGTGTTTCTTGTTCGGGGTTCAATTTTGCCTGATGCCAACGCTTGCTGACATTTTGGGCACACAGCTGTGCCGACTCCAAGCAATTTCTCTGTCCTCTAACGACCAGAACTGAAATAAACTATGACTTTTTTACTCCTGTAGTCCTTTTAATATGGTTTTACCCAGTTTGAGTTAAGCATAATTACACTAGGTAACTTGCTCCCAGGAAAAGAACTGGAAGGAAAGTTCTGAGGCGTAACCGCCTTCAGGGGGACATAACTTCCTTATTTAACACTGTTAAAAGGGAGTCTTTCCTCTCCACTGTCGCTACTAGCATGCTTAGTGTGAGGGATTGCTGAAGAGTCAATGAGTCGATGCAATCAGCTTTTCATAGAAAGAAAACTTTGGATCAATCTGACTGGATGATCTGGTGAACTGGAAAGTAACTTGAAATGACATGTGATGTGAATTGGTGCTATAGAAATAAATGGAATTGAATTAAATGAAAACATTTTTCAAAGTTTCATCTTCGGATTCCCTGGTTTGTGCTCTTCACTGGTTCAGGTAGAGAAACAGACTCCAGCAGTGACGTCCCTCAGGGCGGACTCACCTTGAGCAGCTGCTCCTGCTGACTCTCCCATTGCCTCATGTCCTGGTACAGGGTCACCGCCACCCTCTGAGGGTCGGCCCGGCAGCGCGAGCACACCCCCAGCTGGGTCAGCTCGTCACAGACGGGGCAGTGAAGCGTGGTGAAGTACTGGGAAATGGTTCCCTTCCTCCCAGTGGGCTCCTCCCCGCCCAGCCCAGAGGAGCAGGAAGCTTTCTGGACCTGATGAAAGACAGACATCCTGCTTTAACACTTTCCTCTCAGCACCACAGGATCAGGATGGTCTCCATGGTGAGCCAGGGTGTTGATCTGCAGAGCTGCCAGCAGATGGCAGCAGTGCTCTATCATCACACCACTGACTTCCAGCTCGGAGCTCACCCTGGGGAGCTCCTGGTACCAGCTGAAGACGTCCACCCCGATCAGCTGGAACAGGCGGCCGAGTGGCGGCAGGATCTGCTTGGTGATGTAGTATGTGGCGTTTAGGCGCAGGCTGGGGTCCTGCAGGACCTCCATGGGGCGGCGCACCAGCTGGATGAGGGGCACGCCGGGCATCCCGTACACGATCACGTAGGGGACCCTCTCTCCCACGCGGGGTTCCAGCCGGCGGTCGTACGCCATCATACGCCTGCAGAGGACAACAAGACAACAAGAACAAAACAGACGTCTCACATTTCCTTCCATCTGTCAGTAAAATCTCATCACCAGTCAGAAAAGGGTTGCCTAGCAACAGATTCAACCACTATAAGGACAGCTGCTGCAGGAAGAACAGGTGAACATTCTGGCACTTTCCCTCACACACACCTGGTGAGCTCCAGAGCAGGCACGCAGGCTCCGGGCCGGTACGACCCGCTGCCTCGGTACTCCTTTGCGAAGGTCAGGTCCTGCATGCTGGCCCGGCCGTCCAGAACCTTCGCGCATTGCCGCTGGACGAACTGCTTCACCTGGCTGATGTCTCGCGTCTCAAACAGCAGCTTGATGGAACGCTCCAGAATCTGGGACACGCAAGAAGAGCTTCAGGCCACGAGCAGAACCTACAGAGGAGAAACCACAGCAGGGACGGCAAGCCCTGTTACCTTGGAAACCGCGGGGCATCCATCACGACGCACTGTTTCTATCCCTTTGGCATCAAACGTCGGCTCTTTTTGATCCAGACTCTCGTACATGTAGCCAACGTAGCGCTTCTTTGTCTGCAGCACACAGGGTAGGTACACCTGGCGCACAGAAACATGGTTAACAGCTCAGATCAGAATAAACAATGGCTGCCTGCCCGTCGTGCTTTTTTTCCTACCTTCTCAAACTTGAGCTTGACAGGTTTGGGGTTGGTGGCGGTTACGGCCTCGGCGATCTCCTGTCCGATCTTGAAGGCCTGCTCCTTGGTGGCTCCTTTCAGCAGGACAAACATGCTGCAGACACCAGAACAAGCTGGTCACACTTTACCTGACGGGAACCTGCAGACAGCGCCGCTAAGTACTGAGCAGACCATGCTAAATATGCACCTGACCACCAAGAGAAAAAGTGCGATTGCAGAACTTCTGGATAAATTAAAGGAGAGCAAAGATAGATTTAAGAAGTGGATTGCATTTGCAAACTCCACTACTGCTGCTAGTTTGGTCACAAGCATAGAAAACCGTTCACAGATCTAACAGTTAACGCTCTGATGCAGGGATGGAAACTTTCTTCCATTTTTCCCCCAAATCCTCAAAATAAAAATAACACCAAAGAACGCTGGTGACGGAGGAGGTGGGATTTCAGGGTTAGAGAGCTCTGCTCTGATGGATGTCAGTTCCTGCTTGGTTCCTCACGACTCAATCAGCTCCTCCCAACAGAAACACGTCCAGCATAGAAAGATTCCTTTATTGTGTTTCTATCATTTCATTAATGCAACAAAACCTAAACCGAGCAGTGAAATCTGCTCCTCCCTCACCTCATGCTTCTATGCGACATTTGCTCCAGAATAAACATCTAATAATCGAAGCTTATAATATATTTAAGCTCAGATAGTCCTTTTTTATACACTTGGAGCCCGTATTGCTATTCGAGGCTTATATGACTTTCACATTTCTGCGGCTCCAGACAGATTTGTTTTTGTTTTTCTGGTCCTATATGTCTCTTTGAGCAGTTTGGTTTGCTGACCCCTGTCCTAAAGCGCAGCATCTGTCTGACCCAGGCCTCCAGGAGGCTGCTAACTCCTCAGAGCCAGCATGGCACCGTAGGCAAGGCTACCTGTCTGTGTCTCCGTATACGACACGTGCTCCCCACTTCTTGGTGTCATTGACCAGCTTGATGGCTCTCTCCAGGGTCTCTCTGGCTTTGTGGACGATGCTGTCTCCCACCTGCAGAATCATATCAACCTTTATGAAATTCGGTTCACACACAGCGGGTAAAATAAGTATCGAACACACCAACATTTGTCTGAGTAAATATTTTTCTAAAGGGTGATATTGATATGACATATTATACCAGATCTCGGTAACAATCAGGTGAGGCAGACACCCTGTCTACTTTAAGGCTAGGCTTAAACTTTCCTTTTTGATAAAGCTTATAGTTAGAGTGGCTCAGGTTATCCTGAGCTATCTCTATAGTTATGCTGCTATA